TACTGTATATATATTATTTTTTAGTATTTTGTTTGTTATTGTTCGATAGGAAAAAAATCTCACTTCTGATTATGATTTTCTTTATTGTATTTCTTATTGAAAGGTCAATAACATTATTTAACATTTACGTGCCATTTTTATTTTCACTAACTATATATATAATATATAAAAAGAGTATAATATAATATTGCGATCGTGAAAATGTTCGAATCAGGGTTCTCAACAAAAATAAACGTTTTGAGGTCTCCTGAGTCTAAATAACCAAATCCCAAAAATGGTCTGTGTCTGTGAAAAGTATTGCTCAAAAAAGAATTGTCATACGGAACTAAAATTACGTATTTAAGGTAGGTTTATGCGAATGCAACTTTTTCATTAAAATCAGCTAACTGGAAATGTCACTTTATATTAACAATTTTATATATTTTTACAATTTTCTCAAAAACAGCTCTATCGAATTTGATTAAAATCAGTATATCAATGTACAGTTAAAAGGTCTTTAATATAAGGTCTTATTCTCATTTATGCCACTCAACAGGGCTTAAATGCCAAGTGTTCAAAATTTCTTCCTGTTAAGTACTTTTGATTTGATTTGATTTATTTTAAATAATTAACTATCTCTCATTTATAATAATAATAAAACAATGCTAAATACAACCTTTGAAAGAATTTGATATTTGAATAAAGGATAAAAAAGAAACCTTTTTGATTAGGGTGAAAATGAATCTCCATTTATAATAGTCAAAAGATATATGTATAATATATCATTGGAAAGCTGAGAATTTTAGAAAAAAAAAATATCTAATCTCATGTCTAAAAACTAAAATTATATAAGGGAAACCACATGTTTCCAAGGAAATTTAATGATATTTTCTGACAAAATGTAAACTTTTTAAATTATATTCAAATAAAAAAAAAAGGTATATAAAATCCAATGAATGAATGCAGTGGCATTGTTTAAAAAATATTTCATTGTAATTGTGTGGAATAACAAGTAAAATATAAAAATATTTCACGGATTTGTAAAACATATATTTATAACCTTAAATACATTTCCTGTAGTTTAATTACTCTAAATCTAATAATATATTTAAATAATTAGATATCTATCGTCGGTTTATTCCCAAAGTTCATCATGTAACATTTAAGAAATTTAAATTAGTAAATAATTTGATGAATTTTCTCTTTTCACAATGAAATCACAATATTATCCACTTAGTCTGACAACTTTTGACCTATCGATAGTAGGCAATGAAAATCTCGTAATTCCATTTTAGTAAATTTTATTATGGAAAAACAACAGTTTAATAATTAATATTAGTACAATTCATAATCATTCAATGGTTAAATGCATGGTTGGATCTACCCAAAATGGTAAAGTATAACCATGTTTTATGGAAAAATATATAAAAAATTATCTCTTAAAGTATCATTGCTCATGCAATTACATTTAAAAGGACTTAAGGAATCACTTAAACACCATTTCATATAGATAGCTAGTTTCTTTCTTTTTTTCCAAAGTAATTATTGTCATTTTTATGGGAAAAAAAAAGCTTTCGGGCTGAAGGCCCCCTCCCACTCCCCCAAAATTAAATCCTGGATCCCCTAGTGGTCAAATATACAGATGTACTTTCAAATCTCTCTTCAGAAACTGGGGTTATGTATGTACAGAAGAATTACAAGGTTTTTATTGGCTACTATCAATATAATAAATAATGGTGTGTTATTTTATTGGTATTAATGAGTACTTAGCTGTAAGGTTTAAGCTTTAGCTACGTTAAATATGCACTCCAAAAATTTTTTAATTGCCCAACATTGCCAATATATAATTTCTATTCAAAGTAGAACAGTAATTGAAAGTAGTGTGATGAGCACATCAGATTTTTAAAAATTTTATTCTCCTAAACGATCGGAATTTATGAGAGAAAAATAATTCTTAATATATAGGTATAAATAATTATTTGCTATGTTTGGATTTGTACAACATTGGACACATTTAATTATTGTTCATTAAAAGGGCAAAAAATAAATTATAAATTAGGATTAACTTCTGTAAGAACACTACAATAATTAAACATGCTGTTTAGTTAATGTGTTATAATATTTAATATTGGATATGAATTTATGTAATATATATAACTAGTTGACCCGTGTGAATAATTCGCACTGTAATTGTCCTGTGATAATATTGGCCTGTGAACAACTGACAATATAATATAACAATAAGTTAATGATATGTATTATGAGAGATAAGAAATAGTTTTATTTTTCTCAGTCGAATCACATTATTTCATTCAAACTAATAATTCCAAAAATGTGTTTATAACTATAGGCTGTATAGTTGTAAATAATGGACCCATTTCGATGAATGTTGGAGCCTTGGCTCCAATTCATAGGAAATTTTTTTAATTTTTCGATTGCTAAGGAAATTCGTATTTGAGGGTTCTTGGAGATGCGAAATACAAATCTCAACCTCCTTAAAAAAGTTTTGAACCCACTTTGTTCCTTGGGTCGGTTTAAATTGTTTCTAATTTATAAATATCTAATTGGTTTTCATGATTGATTTTTTTCATTTTGTTAAGAGTTTAGCAAATTTTCAAATAATTATAGGTCTAATAAATTTTTTTTAAAAATTTATACTTTTTAACTAATTCACAAATATAGTTTCATTTCGTTTATAACATTTTTTCCTGAAATTTCGGGTGGGTGTTACTATGATTCGTCACTGCTCTATTTAATACTCTATCGTTAGATACCTCATTCGGAAAAATCCATCGCTCATGAGAGCCGGGAAAGGGATCATTACAGCAAAAAACTATTCTAATATATTATTAAGATAGATTAAAAAATTTAATTCTTGAAGTGTTTTTGAGATGATTCATATCATTTATAAGGAGATAGAAGTTTTACTAAAGGCTTCTTTGTTTAATAGGGAATTCAGAATTTATTTTTGGGAACTAACCTTTTTTTTTTCTAATAAAAGGTTATTTCTGTAAAAATTCTTATTACAGGAACAATAGTGTTTTTATGGATATATTTTTTTCTTGACATTTTCATAAATGCATTAAATTTTCTAAAAAGTTTGTACATACATTTTATAGCTGAAGTAGGTGTGTTATGATTTTAAAAGAGAAGATATTATGATTGTATAAGTATTTAGCATGGATCATTTATAAAAATAAATATTAACTATTGAAAAAAAAATTATTTTTCTATGGGAGGGGAAGCCCTCTTGAATCCGTTCACTAACAATGTTTTCTATTGTATTGTAATATCACATTAATTCTTGATTTTATATTTTATTGTGCTTTTCCCCACTTATAATAGTATTATTATTTTTTTCTGTTTTTCAAAATTATTATTCAAGAGTTTTAGTATAATAATATTAGGAGTGCCCATCCCCCCATGGTCGATGGCGCATGACCCTCTCCCTCTCCTATTAAGATTTTTTATTTCTCTCCTCTTCTTAAAATCCTAGGTCATATAAAATTACCCTTTCAGTGGTCTGTACTATGCTTTTCTCTTGTCCCTTGGTTTGAAACTTTTCACTCCAAAAATTCATAATCCAATCAAGATGTGCCCCCCTCAAAAATTTCGATGGCGCAACTTGAAACCCCGTTTTGGGCACCCCTGGATAGTATAATGTAGTATCTCTATGTTGGATTTGCTAGCCTATAAATATTTATTATTTCTAAATTGGTTTGATCAGTTCTGTTTCGAATTCGCGATACATCGCTTTTTTTGTTTGTTTTCTTCAACTTACATTTAAAAGAACCTGATTTCTTTTATCTGTTCTCAGGAATTTAACTTTTTTGAAACTTGGAATATTTGTATAATATGACTATTATGGTAAATCATCTGCCTTACGTTTTAGTGTCTGTGTAGACACACCATCATTCAAGTTGTCACATAATTGTCTATTCTATAGTTTTGAAAGATAATTTTTTTATTTGTTTTATTTTATTAATTTCTCATAAATCAACTAACATTATTTTAAATAGGGTGTATAAATTTCAAATACTTATTTTCTTTCCGAGAAACTATTAAAACCCTTTTTTAAAAAACAATTTATTAAATTTTTATTACCAAATCATCATGCGACGATGTTTCGACTCTTTTAACCATTTTCAAGTCAATGATATTTGTCTTATGGTTGTCAGTTGTAGTTAAAATCAAATAATTGTGGCTGCATTTTCATAATGTATTATTATTCTTATGAACTATTATATAAGAATACTATTCGTTCTTATTTCTTTTTTGTTAAATACTTCCATTAGTTTTCTGTATTCCATCTTCAACATATCAATCCATCTATACTAGGGATTGAAATGAAATTTGACTTTTATCTCTAATCAATTTTGGTATGACTGGAATATTTATTTTCATATTTTTTCTGTTATTTCGGAACTAGAACATTTTCTCTTGCTACTTTTTAAGTAAAAGTTTTAGACAACCTTTATTTTTAAAATGACTTTTATTCTTAGCTAGTGAAAAAAATCTGGTGCGAGTCTCATACAACTTTCATTTACTGCTCCACTTCAAACAGAAATTATTTCCAGGCAAAATTGGGCTATTACAAAAAGTTGTTGAAGTAAATTTTTATTGAAGCTAAACATTAAAGAACACATTTGTAAATTTCGATCATATTCATCATTGAAGAAAGTCTTAAAGACGATCATAATGACACAAACTCTATTTATTATATTTGTCTATGTGAACCACACAAATCCAGGCTCTGAGCTCTCTATATAAAGAGAGATTTGATAATATATATATTTAATCTAAGAATAAGTGGCAATTGTACTACATAGTAAAAATTATAGGAATCAAATCTCTTATATGTTTTTACATTTTTTTTTTACATGTTTTTAAACTCTTATTTTTTCCTTTGTAAAAGTTCCTAAAATACAGTTACAGCTTTTCGTAACAGTGTTGATAGGTCAAAAGTTGTGGCCCCATCAAGTATTTCGTTTACAACTTTTTGATAGCGACATCCTTTGTATTCATTTAAATTGCTGCTTTCTTCGTTGTGCGGCATTTGCTGGAACTTGTCTATTTGTAGAAACGTTGTGATGGGTTTTAGCGCTAGTATCTTTCCATCCAGGCAGTACAGATTTGATCCACGTCTGTTGGTGATCCGACATATCCTTGTCATCTTTTGCCAATTTTATAATGGATAGCACTGTAGGATTAGGATTGTCGATGTTGTTATAAGTACTCTCAGCCGCCTCTAGGAAGGCAACTTCTGAAGTATTTTCATGGTTGATTACGGTTATTTTGGGATTCATTGGATCTTCGTTTACGTTGGCCAGGATTCTTTGGCGGATAATATGATAATTAATTTTCCTCCTAATGTATATATATAATATAAGAATAAGTGGCAACTACATGTAAAAAGTATAGGAATCAAATTTCTATCATTTTTTACAAGTTTTTAAAGTCTTATTTTTTCCTTTGTAAAAGTTCCTAAAATACAGTTACGGCTTTTCATAACAGTATCAACAGGTCAAAAGTTGTCACACTAATTGTAGTAGCATAATATTGTGATTTCAAAAAAGGATAATTTATCAAATTATTCACTCATTTTCTTTTCAAAAAGTCTACTAAGTAGTATTTGGAAAAACTCGACAGTATATACCTAATTATTTAATTGTATTATCGGATCTAGAGTTATTAAACTTCAGTAAATGTATTTAAGATTATAAACATATGTTTTACTCATCTATGAAATATTTTCATCTTCCATTTCTTCTTTAAGTTAGTACAATAAAATAGGTTTTAAACAATTCTATTACCTCGATTCATTGAATTATACAAACGTTTTACAAAATTAAAAATAATTTTAAAAATTTACATTTAGTTAGGAGAATTTCATTTTGTTTCCATGGAAACATCTGTTTTTTTGTTATATGAATAATAATTTTTAGAAATTATCTTGTGTATCATCCAAACTTATCAAGAAATGGATCGTAAAAATAAATTTTTAATTCTAAAAAATATCTTAAACCATTCATCAACAATAATATATGGTACAAAAATACAAAAGTATTTGTAGAAATTAATTACTGTTTAACATGAAATACAAATTAACGTGATAAAAATGAGTAAGACCATTAAATCATAATGTTAACCAAAATTAGAATTCCAATAATTAACTTTACTTAATAACTCAATGTGGGCGTTACTAAACTCAGCGCTAATTCCATCAATTGATAATTTTTTTTTTCTGTTGGCATTACAGATCTTGTATATCTTTTACCACCTTAACAAGTCTGCTCCATATTTGTTTGTCTTGGGCTATTTATTTCCAGTTATCTGCACGCAGCTCTATTGTATCTTTGTTGATTCTATCTATTCATCTGATTTTTGGTCTTCCACGTGGTCTTTTGCCTTTTATTGAGGCATTCATTGTTAAGTTGAGGCTTTCAGATGGGTTGCTATGAGCTACATGCCCCATTCGATATTCCAATACCTTTGAAAGGGAGAAGAAAGCTCTGTTTGAACTAGTTATACGTTGGTATATTTCTGATAGTTGGTGATTCATTGAGGTTATTGTGGAGTCCAGGTTTTTGATTTTTTCTACTCTCGGGAATGATTTATCATTTATCATCGGGAAAGCCATATCATTTGCGTATTCAAGGATTTTATGATTCGTTCAGACCTGAACCCTACGATTTTCCTGTGATATTATTCTTATTACCTTCTAAGGGGCTAATTCGAACAACATCGGTGATAATCCATCTCCCTGTCGTAAGCCCGTTCACTTTGAAAGCTTCAGATACGTCTCCTTGTATTAGTACTCTACATTTAGGATCATTTGGACTTCCGGGAATTCCCAGTTCAGTCATAATATTCCCAAGACATTTCCTATCCAAAGAATCCCTTTATATAAAATTTATATTTAATTTCATTTATTTATTTATTATAATTTTTTTTATTTTCGTCTTCTTCCCCGCCTTTTAGGCTACACAGTTTTTTTCCCGGGCCAGGGGAGATGGGGATTAACGCCAGAGTTAAAAGCCCTCGGGACCGGGACGCGAACTCATAATTATTTTATCAAGCCATCTTCAGTTAGGCTACCAGGCAACAGTGTTTCTCACACACTTAAGCCCGCACCGCCACCCACATTTATGATCGAAACCCTAATTAGGGATGGCCATAGATAGTCGATATTATCGAAATATCGATATTTTCCTTCCGACATTATCGAGCCGAAACCGTTCCCTTCCGCCCCCCCAAAAAAAAATTGTTTTTGTCTTTATTGTTCCATATTTGTTTCTGAGTGATCTGATCTAAATATGTAAATAATTAACTTCTGAAAAATTTAAGCATCTCGCATCTGAGTCGGATACTGCATTTTTATCAAGTCAATTATCATTCACTCCTTCATATGAAAATTATTTACTCTTATAAATGTTCTCATAGATCACAGACGCATCTACAGAAGGCTTCGGGCTAAAGCCCCTCCCTCCCCTAAAATGGTAAAATATAACCATGTTTTATGAAAAAAATTATTTCTCTAAGTATTATTGTTGGTCTAATTACATTTAATAGGACTTAAAGAATTACTTAAACACCATTTCATGTAGGTAGTTAGTTTCTTTCTTTCTTCCGAAGTAATGATCGTAATATATACCTACAAAAAAAAAAAAGCTTTCGGGCTGAACCCCCCTCCTCTCCAAAATTAAATCCTGGATCCGTAGTGCCATAGAGTAATAACCGTTATATATATATCCCAAATAACCGTTTTTCCCGTCCCGTCTGTTGGCATACTTCTCTGGTGGTGGTAAGGGAGAGCTGATATTTTAACGTTAAACTTATGAGTTAAAGGTATGCATCTGGATTTGGATCCGTACAGAAGCGATGGGTCCATCTCAAGGCGGATAAGATTGAAGCAATATATTTATATGTATATAGTACAGAGGGATTTACTGGTAAGCTTCTGAAGAAAAGAGGGGGTTATTGTCGTTGAGCTGCCATGACAGTAACTTTGAGGCCGGTCGAAGCCTCTGTCAGTTCTGGCAGCATCTGAGCCTGCTGCTGCATTTTTTATCAAGTCCCAATTACACTCCCCCAAAGCCAGCAATTGCTCGCTGACTGTCAAGTCCCGTCAATTGTTGACAGTAATGGTATCCTTGTATTTCTTGTTATTCGATATTCGATATCGTAACGAAGGAGGATTACACCCGTAGAAAACTTATAAAAAAAACTGGTGCGTACAACACACGACTTTCCCTTCCACTAGTGTTGCCCAAATGCAACACTGAGTCTTGGTCTTGAAAACTCAGTCTTGGCCATGGTCTTGGTCTTGCCCAAGAGTCTCGCAGTTACTTATTAGCTTATTACTATAGAGATATTACTGTATTTTTTTTATATATTAGAATCCTAACTAAGCCCGAATGAAAAATTAGAGGAGTTAAATGCAAAAGTATTCGTTTTACCAATCATTGACATATAGTAATTAAGATTGTCAAGTATTAGTAACTATTTTGCCTTAATATTTATTTAAAATATCGATTTTTTTACCAGTCCTGGTCTTGGTCTTGCAACAGTTAGGCGGCCTTGGTCTTGGTCTTGGTGTTGCAAAGTGCAAGACCAAGACTAATTTTGGTCAATATTACTTGCCACCATCTTCTTAGCATAAATAATTATTTTCAGACAAAGAGAAAGTGAAAGTAAAAATTATATACGCTATATTTATTTACATTTCATTTTGGTTATTTTATTTGTTAAAATATGCTTATATAGACAATTTTTAATTTTTATGTCAATATATTCTATACAATTAAATATTAAATAATACCAACGAGTATTTATGAAAATCGCGTATGTATATGTACATGTTTATTTTTTAGTCATTTACATACTATTGTTTAAGTTGTTGTATGTATTCTTTGATTCTTTATTAAGTTAGTTTTTGGCCTGATATGTATTTCTTTCTTTTGTAACTGTTCATTATTGTTATTCTAAGGGAACATCGTCCTAGAATAAAGCTTATTTTATATTATATTCTACATAATATTGTCGGATACCGTATTCTATTAAGCTCATGTTAGGTATGGAAGCCTGTTGTAATCTTTCTGTTTAGTTCCTTTGGTTCTTTCATTACAGCTATTATCCGTTACGATATTTTATTTCTCCTTTAGTTAATTATCAAATTCTTTCATATTTTATATTTAACTATTTTTTGTATCAAAGATTAATATGAAATGATTAATTATTTCAAATAAAAGGTACATTAGAGGAAGCTGAGATTGAAAATTAGCAATTTAAGCCTATGCTATTTTGATTGATGGGTTCATTCAAAATCATTAGAGCCGTTTTGAGAAAATCGTAAAAATGTGTAAAATCAATTATATAAAATACCACTTCGGGTTTGCCGATTTTGATGAAAAAGTTGAACCAATTTTTTACTTGTTAGATTTGATATTAATTTAATATGTCGTTGATATAAATTTTGTGATTTTTTTTAAAATGATCTTTAAGTATTAAAGTACTCGCGAAAGAAATTTTTTTATCGAAGTAGTTTTTATTCCAATTACATTTTTTTTTAATTTTTTTATTTTTTAATATGAAATATTTTTTAAAAGTTTAATTTAATACTTTACAGTACCATAAATAAAGCCAATAATCAGTTTTACAATGATTTCACTGGTTACTAAAACAACCTGTTACTAGAACACGTTATTATTTGGTAACTGTTACCTGTAACCCGTTAACCATCACTACCCTTGGCCAACGTTTGGGAACGCACCAGTTATGGACAGGGGGCTCGTTGATCGACAGGTTGGACTTTATGTGTAAATAATAAGCTTCCTTTTTGATTTAAAGGTTCCATTTTTTTCTAGATTGAAGAACAATGCCCTCTATTGACAACTTTATGAACAATGTGTTAAAAAGAAAATTTTAAACTGCCTTTCATTGTTGTTTTTATAGTACTCTTGCGACCAGAGGGGCCAATTCTCCCCCCCCCCCCCAAGGTCGATGAAGCTAGAACCAACCCTCTCCCCTCGTCTCACTCCCAACATATTTAATTGCTTATATCTTCTTAAAAAAAGAACAAGCGAAGATAGAATTAGAAAAACTGTAGATCATACACAATTACACTTGCTGCGATTTGCTCCATATTTTCCTCTTGTCCCATAGTATAAACTTTTCATTCCGAAAATTCATAACTCTCAAAATATAGCCCCCTCAAAAATTCAAAAACTCGTCAAAATATGTCCCCTCAAAACTTTTGATGGCGCAAGGTGCGTTAAAAATCCCTTTCTGAGCGTCCCTGCTTGAG